CAACCGAAGGAAGAATTGAATCTGAAAGGTACCAGGGTCCCCAGCCAAAACAGGGTGGGTTTCTGTGCAACACGCAGAAATATATTAAGGATAGGCACACACAAACCCCTCAAGAAGAAATTGTCCCTCAAAGTAAGGTGGCAAGGGGTTCCATTGTCTATGGAACTGGACACGGGGTCTGCCCTCTCCATAATTTCCCTCAACACATTCCTGAAAATCTGCAGCAGCAGCGGCCAGCGAACTATGCTCAGGCCTTCCAATGTAATTCTTACTGACTTTCAAAATTCCAAGGTGTGCGTTAAGGGGGAGGCCACCCTTAAGGTACAGTATAAGGATTTTGAAGGTCCCTTAGATGTGTTGGTTGTTGGGGGTGAACGCACGAGTCTGATTGGACTCGAATGGTTTGAGGCCCTGGGAATCCAGGTCACAGGGCTTCACAATTTGCAAATGGAGACCCTAGCAGAAGTCTGCAAGGAGTTTGCAGATGTGTTTAGCTCTGAGCTCGGATCCTACAAGGGACCTCCAGTTTCACTAAAGCTAGATCCAGCTGTACAGCCCATAAGGGTTAAGCCTAGGAGAGTACCATTTGCTCTTAAGAGTAAGATTGATGCTGAACTGGACAAGTTGCTCCAGCAAGGCATATTAGAGCCTGTAGACTCTAGCCCGTGGGAAACTCCCATTGTCACGCCTTTAAAGGCAAATGGGGACTTTCGTATATGTGCAGACTACAAGTGCACACTTAACAAGGCCCTACAGCAACATGCATATCCAGTACCTGTACTGAGCCACATTTTGGCTTCCCTTAAAGAGGGGAAAATTTTTGCAAAGCTAGACCTGGCTCAGGCGTATCAACAGTTGCCTGTTGATGATGCAGCAGCAGAGGCTCAGACTATTGTGACCCATAGAGGGGCTTTCAAGGTGAAGAGGTTGCAGTTTGGGGTGAATGTAGCCCCTGGCATTTTTCAGAGTGTCATGGAAAACACCCTGAGGGGTATTCCTGGTGTGTGTCCTTATTTTTGATGACGTCATCGCGGGGAATTCACCTCAAACCTTGGCGGAGAGGTTAAGGGCTGTTTTGCTTCATTTCCGAAGAGCAGGCCTTAAGTTGAAAAAGGACAAGTGTAAGATTGGTGTCCATTCTACTGATTTCCTGGGGTTCAGGATAGATGCTCAGGGCATCCACCCTTCTGATGCTAAGCTCAAAGCTATTCAGCAGGCCCCAAGCCCTAAGTCTAAGGGTGAATTACAAGCCTTTTTGGGCTTATTGAATTTCTATCATGCT